CCACGCCCACGCCCACGCCCACGCCCACGCCCACGCCCACGCCCACGCCCACGCCCATCTGTCGGCGTCAGTCATCGCGCGCTGCAAGCACGAGAGGGAAAGGCCTGCGAGACCTTGTCCGAGCTCGATGACGAGCGGCTTGGTGGCGTGTGCTTGATCGAACAGCTCCTTCGACGGCCACAGCCGACCCACGTAGTTCACTGCGACGCGCACACGTACCACCGCACACACCACGCAATCAGCGATTAAATGGGATCCACGCCCCACCGGGCAACGCGCGTGCGGTTGTGGGTACGCACCGGCCACCTTGCACCCGACGATGGGTCGTCTGCCCGTGCCGGGCCGCACTGTCCGCTTGCTCACGCCTCCGTCTTCGGTCACCACCACCACCACTCCCTCCCCACCGCCTTCTTCTTCTTCTACCGCCCACCAGCGCCACCAGGCGTCTTCTTCGTCTTCCGCAGCGCTGCTGGGTGGTCGCTGCTGGGCGGTGGTGGTAGAAGTGGTGGGCCGCAGCAGGGTGGACCACTTGGCCTCGAGCCGGATGCCGCCCCCTTCTGCTGCTCCGCTGTCGTCGCCCTGCTCCCGGCCCCGCTGGCGGAGGTGCTCCTGCAGTTTGCGTTCCCATTCGGCGTCCCAGGCCTCCTCCGCCGTGCTAGGTGGTGCCACGTCGCCCACGTCCTCCTCCCCATCTTCTGATTCTTCGTCAGCTTCATCGCTGGTGGTCACCTCCGCGTCGCCCCACAGCGTTCCCTGCTTCTTCTCTTCTACTTCTCTTTCCCTATCCTGCTCCATGCCCTCTCCTGTCGCGCCACAACATACTCTTCTGCAAACCCCACGTGTCCTGGACAAATAAATAAAATAGATAAAATAAAATGAATATGCTCTTTCTTGTCCTTTTAGAAGTATTATCATATAATTTGTGTTTTGTACAGGCGTGAAGAGGCCGCTGAACAGAAGTTGGGTGGTGTAGCTCACTGAGGAGAGGAAAATAAATAAATAATAAAACAGTGTTAGTGCGAGAGAAGACGTGATGAAAGGTGTAAAAGTACCTTTTTGGACTTCTTCGAGGTGGACTTCTTCTTCTTTTTCTTCTTGATCTTCTCCAAGACGCCGCCGCCTTGCGATGGCATGCCGGCGTTGGTGACGCGCGCCTGCACGATGGCGCGGGCTCGCTCGAGCTCCCGCATCAGCGCCCTGTTCTGTTCTTCGAGGTTGCGCACTGACTCCTCGAGCTGCTGCTTGGGCATGTTCTTGATCTTGACCAGCTCCACCTTGAGCCGTCGATTCTTTTCCTCCATCTGAATAGCCGTCTGCGTCACTGTGTATACAACATCGTGAGCGCGTCGCACACGCACACGCACACGCACACCGACGCATGTGCCTGTGCAGACAAGAGTTGATGATGACAAGGGTACCCTCGTTCTGCTTTTCCAACATCTTGAGGTCGGCCTTGATATCCAGCAGTTCGTTCTGGTGTTTTCGCAGCGCTCGGGCAGAGAGCATCTTGGTGACACCGCTGGCAGAACAAAGGGGCATGGTGAGCCATCGGTGTCGCGTCGTGTCGTGTGTGTGTGTGTTGTGTGCGTGTCGTGTCGTGTGTGTGCGTGCGTGCGTGTGTGTTGTATATGCGTGTGTTGTGTGTGAATATGTGCGTGTCGTGTGTTGTATATGCGTGTGTTGTGTGTGAATGTGTGCGTGTCGTGTGATGATAAGAATACCTGAACACAATCGCTGACGACGTGATTGCTGTGGCGATGATCTGATTGTGAACAGTGTTTCTGTTGCAAAAGAGAGCGAGGTTAGACTAGCTGCCTCGTATTTAAAGCGGCACAGGCTACGCAAGGACGAGAAAAATTGCGCACCCATAGTAGAGAATGAAGAAGGCGGCCATGGCCATGCCCAAGGAGATGACAGTGACGATTATATTGACCAGCGTCTGTCGTGACTCACCAGGCGTCTTAGCAGGAATGCCTTGTGTGCGTGTGTGTGTGTGTGTGTGTCACCACAAATCAGCACTTTGTTTATGCACCTCTCGCTCGCGGGGGGAGAGGAGGACTTACCCAACTTCTGACACAGGGCCAATATCTCTTCCTTGAGGTCCTTGTTCTGGAGGTCCACTTCCATGTTCTTGGCCACCACGTAGAATAAGGGGATCAACACCTGGCATCGCAGCAACGTGGCGCGTGAGACGGGTTGGGTTTGCAAACCCGAGCACACGAACAAACCAAGCGACAGGACGACACGCACAAGCACGAGATTGAGGCTTCCGATAAAGAGCTCGGATTCGAGGGAGAAGGCGAGCGGCGCGACCGTAGCGCCTAACACACAACACACGCAGCACACAACACGGCACACACGGCAGGTGTCAGCAGGACACGATGAAACCACGCAGTTGCGCCAGTACCTGTTGCGATTCCGGCCATGTTGCAGATGGTTTTGATGCGCGCTGGGACCTCCTTTCGCGTCACCACCTTCACCGCCGCGTTGTACAGACCTGCCGGCCCAACGTGATCGTATTAATAATATATTATTGATATTTGTGCACATTATTTATTTATATTTAAATAAATATAGATAATTAAAAGATGAGCGCACCATATTGGTCCTGCGTCTCGAGATCGGCGTAGGTGAGGCCGTAGACTCCACCCTGCGGTACCGTGGATGCTGGGAAGAAGGGCGTGGACTCGGTCATACTGGCGTGGCCTCGCCCCCGATCATCGTCATCTTCGTCTTCTCGTTGGGCGTTGACAAACGCTGAGTATCGATCGCCACTGTTGTCCTGCTCGTCTCGTCCGCCAGCACCTCCTCTCACGAGATGGCTTTCCTCATCGTAATCGCTGTCCGTGTGGCTTCGATCGCTGCCCCCTCCTCCGCCCCCGTAGGGATTGTATGTGTAGTTGTAGCCTCCACCTCCGCCCCCGTAGCCTCCATAGCCTCCACCGCCGCCGTAGGGGTAGGAGGTGCCCATCGAATTGTAGCCCCCGCCCCCGCCTCCATAGGAAGTGCCGTAGCCTCCTTCCTGCATCTCTTCTTCAGCAGCGATGAGAGAAAATTAAATCTCCCACCCCTAAAATGTAGTGCCGCGTTGACCTCGGGTGAAGGAGGCCGAGCGGGAGTGCAAGGAGGAAGGATAGAGAAGAGAAGAAGGGACTGTGGTGGTGGGTTTCTTCTTTCTCGGGCGTGCAGGCCAGGGAGAAGTGAGAACGTGAGAACACGCTTCTGTTGCCCAAAACTTGCATTTCTATTGGTTTTCTTTTTGGCTCTTTGGTCCAAATTCCTCACATTCCAGCCGTGTGGGCTGGTGTTGCTTCTGTTGCCTATCCCGGCCAACCAGGGACCCTTTTTGCCACACCGCGCGATGCACACCACTATCTCTTTCTGTTGCATCTCCATAATCCCCTTTCTATTTTCATTTGTATGTTCTATTGTCAAACAATACTACGCGGGCTCGCTGTTTGCGCAATCGATTCCAAGCTCCAGCAACATTCGAGGTCACAAGAGCTTGCAAAGTGGCATGCCGAGCATTGCACTGACCTGGACGGTCGGAGTAACCGAGCGGGGCTAGGTGCCTGGCCTGGGAGCGTGAGACTTGGATCTGGGCTGACGAGAACACCGGCCTGAGAAGAGGAGGGGAGCTGTTGGAAATAACTCCGGAATCCCGTTATCTTTGACGGTCAAAAGACCTCAGCTTTCCAATGGCCGACCCGGGCTCGGGCGTGCCACCCTGCCGCATCTCCCTGGTGGAGATGGCCGCCCGGTATGGTGCCAAGTCTTGATTTCCCTTATTCCCCAATTCCTTATTCAACCACACTCTTGCACTGCGCCTCTGCCAGCCCACTTCCCCTCCTTACAGTACCCTCCCACCAGCGACTGGCAAGAGACCTCTTTGCGAGTCCCAAAGCCCAAAAGAACGAACGCGAAGACTGCGAAAGGTGAAAGAACGAATAGCGACACTGCGAGCGAACAAACAATTGGGAACAATGGCCTCTGCGCTGGCGACCTACACTCCCTTCGACAAAGAGGCCAGGGTAGAGGAGCTCCTTCTGAAGCAGCGCCCACCCCCTGGCCCTGACCAACAGCAGCCACACAACAGTCGAGTGCGCATGATGTACTGGACGATGAAGAACGACGAGCTGGCCAAGGGCGACCTCGAGCGAGCTGTTACCTGTCGCGACTGTGAGCCGCAGGATCCTGCGCGTGAACTACCCCAGGCCGGCGGCGCCGACGAGGGCGGTGTTGTGTTCGGCCGGGACCGCCGCGGCCACGAGCTTTTGAGACGAAGCGACGACGAGAGCGGAGAAGAGTCGCAGCCGCTCACGGCTGGCCTTGTCGAGGAGCGCAACAAGAAGAATCATCACAATCACCATCAACATCACCATCACCATCATCAAAGCAGACACCACCAAGGTCCGCAGGTGTTGGTGGTCCCATCGCTCCACCCGTGCGGCCCCACAGCCAGCCTGCTCGACTACATCGCGGGTCTGCGGTACTACGAGGAGCGACAGCTGTACCACATCTTTCTCCTGCGCAAGCGCGATCCGTCGTTCCGGGTCATCTTCGTGTCATCGGTCGACATCCCTCACGAGGTGATCGCCTACTACTTCCGCCTCATGCGCTCCACTGGCAGGTGACGGCACCCCTTCGTCTTCTTCATCTCATTGGTCCAATTTTTATTTTTTTAGCATTTACTTATTTATTTCTTTCTTTCTTCATTAAATTCTGATTCTTGTGGTGGAGAGCAGCTTTACGGATGAAGATGAGGCGAGCTGGTGGGAGCGGCTGGTGCTGCTGCCTGTGCGCGACGCGTCGCCCACGCCGATAACCAAGAAGATCTTGCGCCACCCGACTTTCCTGTCCCAAGTGCGCTCCCAGTACGCTACACCCCCATTCTCAAGAAGAGGCTTTGTCTCGCGCTCTCTTGGTGACTCTTGGCACTGACTTTGACTGTCTCTCTCAGCACTTCGCCCGACACGGGCATGTTCTGCGTGTTCACGACCGGCCGGGAGGAGAAAATCGCTTCATCACTGCGTACGGAAACGACCATCACCTGCGCGCCAGTGGGTGGTGGTGGTGGTGGTGGTGGTGGAAGTTTTAACGTTTGACCACCACCGGTGCCGCCTTGCAGGGGTTCCGCTGTTGGCCGTACGAAAGAATTGCCTCCACTTTGGGACCAAGAGCGGGTCGCGCGAGGCCTTCCTGCGCACGGGCGTTCCGCACCCGCAGGTGCGCTTCTTGCCACACCACTCCCCATCGACTCTGTCCCTCTCTCTTGGGCCTTACCAACTTTTGCGGCTTGAACAGGGAACGAAGCTCTGCCATTCCAAGCGCGAGCTGGCCCAGGAGATGGCCGGCCTGTGGCGCTACCTCAAGGCCAAGTACCAGCGGCTCACCGCTCACCACACCAACGGCGTACGTTCCCTGTCAGCGCGCGCATGGTGTGTGTCGTGTCGTGTGTGCGTGTGTGTCGTGTCGTGAGTGTCGCATGTTGTTCATTGATGATTGTGTACTCGTACAGAGCAAGGGGTTGTGGCGTGCGTTGATGCCGCGAAAGGTGGTGATTAAGCTGGACGATGCGTTCTCCGGCGAGGGCAACGCGCTGCTCGACATCACCGAGTTGCACGCCTACCGGGGCGACAACCACTCCACCCAGTTCGTGGACCTCATCGAGCAGCAGTTCACGCACGAGCGCACGCGATTCCAGGCCGTCGAAGAGTGCTGGGACACGTTCGCTCCCAAGTGCGCGTCTGTCGGCGTGCTCGCTGAGATCTTCCTCGACTCATCGGACCACGTCAAGTACATTTACCACTCCACCAGCTCGTTTTAACTCCGACTCACAACGTCGTACCTGATCTTACCTCAAAATCGCGACACACACACTCACACACACACACACACACACACACACGAAACAGCAACCCGTCAGGTCAGGCCTGTATCGACAGCGACGGCCAGGTCCATCTCATGGCGACCCACGAACAGATGATGGGCGGGCCTGACGGCCAAAACTACCAGGGCTGCGTGTTCCCTGCGCAGTCGACCTACCGCCTCACCATCCAATCCAACGTTCGCAAGGTGGGCCAATATTTGGCCTCGCAGGGCGCTATCGGCCACTTCTCGGTCGACTTCCTCGCCAGGCGCGTCGACCTCTCCAACCCGAGCACGCCGGTGCGACTGGTGGCCGAGCGCCACACCCCGGAGACCTCGGTCTGCGAGGATGAGGCCGACATGGTCGAGGCCAACTGCGCCTTCGACGAGGACGGCTATCTTTGGGACTTGCACGCGCTCGAGGTACGGTCGTGATGATCACGTGATCGGGTGCCGTGTGAATTAATTATGGGTTGTGTACGGTCGCCGCGCTCGCCACGCGCTGGGTGGTTCGCGCAGATCAATCTTCGCCCCGGAGGAGCAACGCACCCGATCATGACCCTCAACCTCCTGACCGATGGGTACTACGACGAGTCCACCGGCCTGTACACCCTCGACGAGGACAGCCCCACCTACGAGGGGCTCCTCGACGACCAGAAGAAGTGATTCCCTTCCCGGCCTGCTGTGTTGTGTTGTGTTTGGCGTTTGCTGACCTGTGGTACCACAGGCACCGGTACTACGTGGCCAGCGACAACGTCAAGCATACGGCCTTCGTAGGCATGACGCCGGGCGAGATCATCGGCCTCTTCGAAGGCCACCCGCTTGAATTCGACGGCCGACGCGCCACCGGCACGGTTCGTACAACTCTCAGCTCGCAGTCCGATGCACTGTGATGATTGTACTGACGCACTCTCTCGCGTTTATTTGTTGATAACGATGATGACGCGCAGATCTTCCACATGCTGAGCTGCGCGCGCGAGTACGGCAAGCTGGGGATGGTGTGCATCGGCAGCTCCCCCGCCGAAGCTCGGGCCATCTACGACGCCACCTTCCAGCGCCTCCTCGACTCACGCCAGCACTCCTCACCCTTCTCCTCCTCCACCATGTAACTACAACCGCCGTGAGCCGGCCGCTCTGCTGGCGCTCCGCCCGGCTATTTTTAAATTCCGGCGCTAAAAGAAAATGCCGACGAAAAGCTCAAAAAAAACCCGCACACGGAGAACACGAGGAAGAACTTGTGGTGCTGCTCTTGTCGAAGTGTCTTGTTAGGTCCCGACGATGATGGAGAGCACTGACGGAGCGCTGGCGACAAAGAAGCAGCCGGTCGGGCTGCCGTTGTGGCGTGGCGGCAGTGCACCGCAGGCGGCTCCGGGCAGGCACTCGCCGCTACTCGACGACCGCCCCCTGCCCCCGAGCCCGCCGCCCCACGAGCCCCTCCAGCCCGTGCGCCGGGCGTGGGGCGGGGGCGCAGTGCCGCTCGTGGCCGGGTCGCCACTGCCCGACATGGGCGCCTTCTCCTACTCCTCCTACCCCTCGACCCTGCCCGCACTCGGCAGCCCCATACCAGAACCGCAGCAGCAGAAAGAAGATGAAGAAAAAATAGAAAAAGATGAAGATGAACCAACCAGCAACTACAAGAAGGAAGAAGATGTGGGGTGGATTAGCGTTGAGAGCGCGCACGTGGGGGCCATCGCACCCCTGCCGCCCTCGCCGCGCCCCCCACAGGCGGTCGAGGAAGAGAAGGAGGGAGAGGCGCACAATGCACCCGGGCAGGAGCTGCCCCGGCCGGACCTGGGCTCACCTGTAGGAGGCACTGCCTCGAGGCCAACGTCGACCGGGGTGGCTGCGGGATCGTACGACATCGCCATCAGCGCCCCGTTCGACTTCCCGCGCGACGACACGCAAGGCTTCTCTACCTTTGCTCCCAGCTACGCCGGTCGGGTGGCGCAACCGCCGTGCGTGCTACCCCGCTCTTTGGCCGTGCGCAGCCCCTGAG